GCAGCCTTGAGTTTTCTCAGGGAGGCACTTTAAATGGGGCTAGAGTCATCCTAGGGATGTGACCTTGAGCTGTTAGAAACTATGTTAGTGTTCCTTTAAGTCTTTGTAGGGGAGGCTGAAGCCTGGTAGAGAAGAGGGCTCAGAGGACACTGGCTAGAGTTTGGTGATGGAGAGAATCTTTGTCACTACCTTGTGGTGGTGTTATGATGATTGGATGGGATGTGTGAATCTTGCTTACACATATGCTCAATAAATGTTATCTCACTTTAAAAAATGTTATTTCATTTATTCATTCGGTCATAGTGTCTACATTCATGGACTTCACCACCTCACCTCCCATTTGCATCTCAATTCAGCCCAATTTTACACTCAATAACTGGACTGCAAACATATTTGTGAATGAGAATCTCAAGCGTCTGCCCCCACTGTATACCCAAAATGCTTTTGCAGAGATCATCAGTGGCCTTGTTTAGTTCATTCTGGGTGGATCAATAGTGTTCAGCAAACACTCTCCCCTCTTTCACTTTCCACTTGTTGAAGACCCCAAAGTCACTAACAATCCTGGCCTCCAACCAATGGCTGGACTGTTAGGCGATCTAGAAATAAAACTCTCTTTTTAAAGTCACTGGTGCTTGCTGAGGTCAGCACTATGTCCATCAAGGTTTAAACAAAACTGGTATCTAATCTCCTTCCTGGGTCCAGTGGGAAACTCTTAAGTTCCTCTCTGTGACCCTCAAGATTAATTGGGGTTTATGTCACTCCTGGTCATTTGTGACCTGTTCTTGCTTCCAATGAATTAATTCAGGTTATGGATCATCTGGCCATCCCTCCCTGTCCCTTTTTTACATGTTACTGGACACAACTCCAATTCTGCCACTCCTTAAAGAATCACAGACACGAGGCTGCATGAGAAAGATTTTTAAAGAAGGTTGGGGAGCAATTGTGGGACTTCACATCTCATACTTAAGGAGGTTAATGCTAACCGTTATGGACTGAATTGTGTTTCCCCCCCAAATTTATGTGTTGAAGTCCTATCCCTCAGTACTTCACAATGTGACTGTGTTTGGCAATAGGGTCTTTAAAGAGGTAATTAAGTTAAAATGAGGTCATTATGGTTAGCCCTAATCCAACATGACTGATGTCCTTATAAGAAGAAATTTTTTAACACAGATGGGTATACAGGAAGACAAAGTGAGAAAATGGCCATTTAGAAGCCAAGGAGAGGCCAAGGCCTCAGACAAAACCAACCCTGTCAACTCCTTCATCCTGGACTTCTAGCCCCCCAGAACTGTGCATAAATAAATTTCTGCTGTTTAAGCTACCCAATTTGTGGTACTTTGTTATGGCAACCCTCACAAACTAATACACCAAGTAAAGGAAGTTCTTTTCCTAAGAGGAAATCTGGTGCCTGGTTTTTAAAATAACAAGGTGCACCTCCTCCTCTCTACATTATGATTATTTCTGGGATTCCAAGGAAGCTTAGCAAAGGAGCAAGGGAGGTAGGATGAGAGTGGTAGTAATAATATGGCCATAGGTAGTAACATTTTTTTCTTTTAAATCCTGCTGGTTTTAAGCAAAAAATTCTTCAGTAATCCCTTCTGAACTATAATATGAATTTAACTATTGTTTTAGTTACTAAAGGATATTTGCAGATCATTCTCACAATGATGATAGTAATGTCTTTAATGGAGGCCAATCGGCAATATATGTTCAGAAGTATAAATCACCTCTTTTTTTTTTACTGTGAAATTCCAATTTTAGGAATTTAACCTACGGATATACCCACACAGGTGTGAAATGACATATGTACAAGATTATTCATTGCAGCATTGCTTATAATAGCAAAAGACTGGAAACAGTGTTGATATCCAACAACAGGGGATTGGTTAAATAAATTATAGTACATTTGTAAATTGAATACTATGCAGTTATGAAAAAAACATAGGAAGCTCTGATATGATCTTCAAAATCTATTTTTGTATGAAAAAAAATCAAGATGTGGAATAGTGTGTAAAGAATGCTAAAATTTGTGTTATAAAGAGGGATAGCATTACTTAGGTGGGTATATATACACTTGGTTGTAGTCACATAAAATATTTCTAGGATAGGAGAGAGGAACTGGAAGCTGGCAATAGGGGTAGGAGGGAGAATTTTTACAGTTTGACCTTTTGTACTTTTTGAATCTTGATTCATGTTTTAAGTATTATCTACTCAAAAATAAATAGTTAAAATGAAAACAAAACACGACAAAAATTAAAATAAATACATGATAAAGACAAAAATAAAAGTAACGTACACACAAGATCAAAACATTCAAACAGTACAGATGGATATAAAATTAAAAGAAAAAACTTGCCTCTTCCATCTTGTATGCATTTAAAAGAAGTTTGTTGTATTTTATGCAGCATTTCTAGGTGTTTTGGGGCAGGAGAATTTTTGGATTATCTAGTCTTCCACATTGGAAAGGGAAGTGCCCTTTCCCAATCTTTTCAGCATTAACAGCAATGTTTATTATTACTCCCTCTCCACCTCTATGGGCTCCTTTTTTGAAACCAATGTCCATGGGACAGGCAGCATTTGTTACATAATAATTAAACTGGACTCTGTGACTTCTTGCTCTATTGGGTTATCTTATCCACCAATCACAGTGCTGTCTTTATCAGCCAATCAGAGTTTCAAGAAACAACTCTACACTTAGTAAAAGCCTCTTCAGTGCCAGCCTTATGCTGGACTCTAGGAATAGGCAGGAAAAGGGGAGATTCTTTGCCCCTTCTCTGGTCACGTGAAGATTTTACTAAGTTGACCCATTCTCAGCCCAGGAGTTCTTTACCCAGCCTAGTGGAGGCTCCTTAGAATCAACTAGGAGCAACTTTCTAAATATTGATGCCTAGGCTTTACTCCCACAGGTTCTGATTCAGTAGAGAGTGGGCTCTGGATATGGATGTTTTGAACCTATGGTGATTTTTATTGGGGGTGGCATGGTGTATATACATATGAAATTTCTATAAGGCCTTTTGAAATAATAAAAATCGCCTGTGAACTGAGGGTCCACTTGGTTCAGTTTCCCTTCCAGGGGTAAGGCTGTCTCCTGCAATAACCCTGAGGCCAGTCAGCCTCAATTTGAACATGTCCCTTCGCCCAGAGACAGGTTACTCAGTCCCCATAGAGATAGTGTGATCAGTCTCAGAACACCTCTGCTTGCCACAAGTTCCTCCCTTGCCTTTCCGTGTAGCTTCCTTGTTCCGCTTCCTGCCCAACGGCTCCTCAGCAGCCAAGTGGAGTTTCTGCTAAATCAACATCTGGCCTTAAATTCTACCAGTGCTACGAACAACTACAGGAAGTTTTCTTGAGGGAGTGAACTTCCAGCATTTGATGCTTTACGCCATGGAGATCTAGGAGGGGCTCTTATCACACACCCTTAGGACTGGAAGGGGCCTCAGAAGTTTTACACACACACACATGCAGAGTCGGTTCTCAGTTTTTGGTGGTATTTATGTTCTGAAAGTTGCTGTGAACACAAATTAGTGAATACTGAACAATTGCTCCAAGGGGAAATGCAGGGTTAGGCTCCTGCAAGTTTCTGCCCACAGCGTTTTTTGTCAGCTGATCAATACATAACCTTCTTTTATGTGTGTTTCTGTTTAAAGACATCTTATTATTCACATATATATATATTAACATTGAACTCAGAGCCAATAGCACTATAACATGTTTGAACTAAGTTCATGTATTTTCTTCATAGTGCACCTCACACCCTTCTTGTATCTAGGTATACTAGATAGCATTTCAGGCATCATGCTTGGGGACCACTTTTTTTTTTTTTTTTTTGGTACGTGGGCCTGTGACTGTTGTGGCCTCTCCCGTTGCGGAGCACAGGCTCCGGACGCGCAGGCTCAACGGCCATGGCTCACGGGCCCAGCCGCTCCGCGGCATGTGGGATCCTCCCGGACCGGGGCACGAACCTGTATGCCCTGCATCGGCAGGCGGACTCTCAACCACTGCGCCACCAGGGAAGCCCGGGGGACCACTTTTAAACAGTGAAATCATCAACAAAAAACACAAAAATGCGAATAAGGTGGCACTAAATAGATCATGAGAAGCACCTTGGTTTACAGCATGAGCTGAAACAGAGCATGGTTCTTGTTTAACCACAGCTGAGAACAGGCACGTGGGGCAACTCACATTTTCTGCCACCTCAAGGGTTCTTCTAGTATTGATCTTGGGGTTACAAATACATTTTTGTGAGCAGGAAAATCTGCAAATTCAAAATCAGCCAATAAAAAGCATCCACTGTATATATCCACAGTATACCTACATATATACATATTCCTTCTATTCAGTGCTGAAGGCTTTGTTTCTATCACCTCCTTTAATCCTCACAAAACAACACATGAGAATGAGTTTCGGAGAGGTTAAAAGAGGTCACAGAGCTAGTGACAGAACTTTGCTTTTCGTTTTAGACATTCATGTAATAAAATCCGCCCCCCCCCCCGCAGTGTACAGTCCTATTTGTTTTACACGTGCAGTGACTCTTTTAACTACGACGACCAATAGGATACAGAACAACTCCAACACTCCGAAATTCTTCCTGAGGCTACCCTTTTGTGAGTCCGGTTTCTGGCCAAGCCCTGCCCTCAGCCTCAGGCCTTGCTCCACGTCACACTCCCTCTCAGCACAGAGAACCAAAACCTGAGGGGCTGGTACCAGGCTATAGAGCTTTTTTGCAAGGGCTGAGGGGGCCTGGGTCTCGAGCCCACCTGTGAACTCCAGCCTTGTCCCCAAAGGGTTCCCTAACCCGCGCCGCCCCGCCAGAAGACCATACGGCCACGTCGCAGGCGCCTCAGTGTACGCGCACGCGCGCGCGCGCCCACGCCTGCCCGCCCCGCCCCCTGGCCGCCTCCCGCCCCACCCCCTGGCCACCTCCCGCCCCGCCCCCGGTTCTAATTGCTCCGGCGCAGCAGAGGTTTCAATAGGTCTGCGCGCTCGTTAGGCCGGTCGTTCCTACGTTAGCTGCGGCTCCCGTGCCCAGAAGTGTCCGAGCCATGCATGTGGACATCTCACAGTGTCCGCTCCGGAACCGGGTGTTTGTGGTGGGCGTTGGGATGACCAAGGTAAACAGAGCCGTGTGTCCCCGGAGGCGGGCTCCCTGCTCTGCTCTGTCTGGGTGAGGCCTGGGGAGATTCGAGGTGACCGGGAACCGGGGGTGGGGCGGGGGAGAATCAGATTTGGGGCCGTGCGTCGGTTTGTCCTTCCTACCCGGAGGGCGCCCGGGGCATCCCACCGCCCAGCTTGGCTTCTTGGCCCTGGGGGCATCAGAGTGGCGACTCGGGTGGGTTGTGATGTAGGGCGTGTCTGCGGGATCGTAATATCGCAGGGTTGTTCCAGCGGCCATATCTTCCTCATTTTTTCCTTTTCTCCCTGGGGCGCAGTTTGTGAAGGACGCCCCAAGATGACCCACAGTCCGCACCTCCTTTGAATCTGGGTGGAATCTTAAGATGTGTGGACCTCTGACGGAGGCAAGGTCCGCCTCACACCCGAAAGGAAAGCAGGTCGTGAATGTCGCCAGTCTGCACTTCCAGGAATACTCCTTGTAGGATCCCTTCTCAGGGACAGTTCCAGTGTAGATAAGGAGGAGAATCATTAGTGATGCTCAGCGTCTCGGCACAGGTGGCAGGTTTTCTGGATCCTCCGACCTTTGTTGTTCCTCAAGTGATACTCTTCTTGGTACTCAGGAGGCCAGAGACTCCTACAGTCTCACTTCTTGACATCCTCACCACCTCTGTGCTCTAGTGATGCCAAACTGCTTTTAGTTTCACCCCAAACTTTTTTATGCCTCTGTTGCTTTGTTTTCTGTTTTTCCCACTACTTAAGACCGTTTGTCTTCACTGGTTAACTTATTTGCATTTTTATTTTTTAAAATTATTTATTTTTGGCTGCGTTGGGTCTTCGTTGCTTCACGTGGGCTTTTCTCTAGTTGTGGCGAGCAGGGGCTACTCTTCGTTGTTGTGGGTGGGCTTCTCACTGCGGTGGCTTCTCGTTGCAGAGCACGGGCTCTAGCTGCATGGGCTTCAGTAGTTGTGGCACGTGGGCTCAGTAGTTGTGGCTCGCGGGCTCTAGAGCACAGGCTCGGTAGTTACGGTGCACGGGCTTAATTGCTCCGTGGCATGTGGGATCTTCCCGGACCAGGGCTCGAACCCATGTGCCCTGCACTGGCAGGCGGATTCTTAACCACTGCACCCCCAGGGAAGCCCTTATTTACATTTTTAAAAGATCAATTCAGACCTTATCCAAGAAGCCTCCTGTGATCCTCCTGACTTTCCCACATGTTAACTTAGTACTTACTGTTTTATCCTGAAATTCTGTTTTTATGTCTATATTCTTCTTTTGCACGTAAGCTCCTCCAAGGTGAGTACCATGTCTAATTCATTGCTGTACCTCTAGCACCTTGAAAATGCCTTGTGCCTGAAGACCTCAGTGAATGTTAGTTGAACAATATTAAATGGATATGCTTTATGAAAGAGAGTTCCTAGGGGAAGTTCTCTTTCTGAGAAAACAGCCTTAAACTTGTTTTTATCTTACCCAGTGGGCTGAGAGTACACAAAGCAATAAAGACATGTAAGTAGAAAAGTCAGCTAATACGTTATGAAGCAGATACTTGGAGATCATCTATTGTTTCATGGGAAAGGGAACTTCTGGTATAGGTGGACAGTAAAACCTTTTAAAGTACGGTATAAATACAGTCAGATCCTCCACCACTGGCTGTTACATGTCTGGTTATATTGGCTATATAGAAAAGCACTGAGCTTTGGGAAGTAGGAGATGTATTTATGTTTCCTCAAGTTGAGAGGTGGAGGTGTGGGAGGTGTTAGTTACAATCTTCAGGGAAGAGATTGGGACTATGGAGAGCAGCTTTATTGATGTGCTTACTAGGCCAATGTACTTCTCTCTGGGTTTGATCTTTTGGAACTTGGGGGAGGGTTTAATGAAGAGGGAGAAATTTAGCAGATAATACTTTAAGCTCTTGGTAGATCTCAACTGGTTGTGGTTCTTAATTTGAATAGCTGAATTCCTAGACAACTTGAAGTTCTCTTAGTGAGGTTTTATTATCAGTGTAGGAAATTAATTCCTATGGTAAATTAGAATTCGCATGATGCATGTCAAGAGGTTTTAACACAACTAAATCACAACTACTGCCTGGCTGACAGCAGGCCGAGTCCCTTTGCTTATGCTGCCTACCTCCTGATATGCCCTCTTTTCATCAATTTAAATTCTGGCTGTCTTCAAGAACTGGTCTGTCTTAGTCGGTTAGGGCTGTATAACTGCAATACCTTAGACTGGGTGGCTTAAGCAAGAAATATTTATTTCTCACAGTTCTGGAGGCTGGGAAGTTCAAGATCAAGGCACAGGCTGATTTGGTGCATGGTGAGGTCCTGCTCTCTGGTTCATAGACAGCTGTCTATGGCAGAAGGGGCAAGGGAACTCTCTGGGCTCTTTTTTATAAGAGCACTAATCCCATTCCTGAGGGCTCCATCTGCATGGTTTCCCAAAGGCCCCACTTCCAAAAATGAAGAATTAGATTTGTGAGTTAGATATCAATATATGAATTTGGAGAGGACACAGACATTCAGTCTATAGCAAGAGTCCAAGTCCTGTATTTTCTTAAAACTTCCCCAGACTGCTCTAAGTTACGTTGGCCACTTTTGTTTTAGAAATTCTGGTGCCGTTATAGTCAGGACCATATAATTAAGGATTTGATTTTTCTATACTTTTATATATAATTCCACAGCCCACAGAAAGAAATATATCTTACATCACAACTCCGTACACACATGCACTCACAAAACTGAAACAAGCTTGCTAAAGCAACACTTATTATGTGATGAACTCTTGATATTTCCTATTTTGTTTCATTTTTAAAAATGCTGATCACAACCCACAACGCTTACAATTAATTTTGTCATACTCTACAAACCTACGGTTTAAGAAAATATTACAAAATAAATAAATAAATAAAATATTACATTATCGTGTTTAATCCTCACCACATAAGGAATTATTATTATCCACATTTTATTGTCCATCTTTGTGGCTTAGAGGGGCTAAGTAATTTATCTATCTTGATACTGCTCCCAAATTTTGAAACTGCATTACTTAAAATCTCATGTTTCTTCCATGCTATCTCTAACACACGTTAATGTTATAGGGTAGTTAATTCATCATTTAAGCATATATTCAATAAACATAGTATGTGCTATATGTTAGGAGTACAAAGATGAAAAAAGCAAGGTTCCTGTTCTTAAGGAATGTATAATATGGAGGAGGAAAGGATAAACAGGTAATTTAAATATGATGTATTAGGACATTTGGATAAGCATGGCAGATTGAAAATATGAATTTATCTCTATTGGTGCTTTCCAAATACCACTAAAATGACAGTAAGGGTGAAGTGACTAGGAGAGGAAACAATAGCAGAAAGATGTCAGAAAAACATTGGATGATTAAAAGCTGATGGAAAAGTGGTCATTGACTCAGAACAGAGAAACCCACAACCCAAGTTCCTGGAGAGGGGTTATACTGGCTGAGTCTTCCTGCAGAACTCCAGAAGGCTCAGAACCTGCATGTACTAGATGCCAAGTAAGGTGGGGATGAGAGGAGGGAAGGAAAACACTTCTATGGAATAATTGGATTCCAAGATCCTTTTTACCACTAGGTGACTATCCCTTCCTTGTCAGGGTATTGGAGGCTTGTTTTCTGGAGAAGCTGAACAGATGAGTCTCTAGAATCATCTGACCGTTAGGCTTAGTGGAAGGCGGGAGTGAGGCCCAAGTTGAAAAAAAGGGAATCAAGTGAAATTCTGTATACTAAATGATGGTACTTCCCAGCCCTGTTCCCAGAACACTGGCAATCAGACACATACCAGCTTCCTGGCAGAGGTTTGGAAAATTATGTGAAATGGCTCCAGAGAAAAGCCAGATTACCACTCCACTCAAAGTGCAGGATTTTCTTGCTTCCTTGGAGGGATATTGCTTCCATTCCAAAGCATACCAGCCCACCACGGTGTTTCTGAGAACCCTCCTGCATTCTTCCGTGCACAAAATGTGGGGTTTTGTTATTCTTTTTTTCCGTGCCTGCGACTGGTCTGGCACCCGGACTTTGATTCACGATGCGTGGTGGTGAATCCTGACTTTACAGCGTTTCTCCTCTTTGCATCACCCAGCCTTCCGCTGCCATCACAGACACTGCACCAGCGTCTCCTGGAGACCTGGGTCTCCAGATCTCACTGCATGCGCTGGAGTGCTGGCGTTAACCTGTTGGCGCCTCGATCTCGGCTATTTGGGGTTTTCGCACTGTGGGACCCCTGCCCCGTCTTGGCCTGGCTGCAGCCCAGCCCAGCCTCTCGGGGGTGTCCGCCCGCCTCCACAAGCAGAGCTCTGACGTCAGCCTAAGGCAAGGAGAGCAGACGCCTGGTTGCTTTTGATGTCATTTTTACTCTCGGACCTCTGTTCTTCTGAGGATCACGTCAATGCCCCGGGTGTCACGCACCCCAGCAGGCCTCTCGGCACAGACACCGACCCACTCCACGCAGGGGTCCGTCTCACCAGGAAAACCCCACTTGCCTGTGATATTTGGGACCTTCAGGATGACTGGATTGCGGGCTCTTGATCTTCCTAAGCAATATTATGGAGAAAAACCATATTTATTGTCATGTAGGATTTGGTTCTGTGGGTCTTTTTTTTCTTTTTTTTGTAAGAGAACAAAAACTGGTTAAACGAGGTCTGCTGAAGTTGTGACTTGACCCACACTTGACCCTTCAGCAGGAAGGAGACAGACCACTTCACAGTCCTGCCTCCCCACAAGGGCGGGAGCCCATGCCTTCTTCCTCCCAGGCAGGAAATGGAAGCCACCTTGGCTAGAGCAGCCCGCCACACCAAGCAGACCCCAAGAGCTGTTCATTGTCCTTCTGGGCAGGTCTGTGCCCAGCACATCAGCTTCTCCATGCTACATGTCGCCCAGTTCTTCCGTTTGCTGCCCCACCAGAAACACTGAAGACCGAGGACTAGAGCTTCTCCTTCACGGGTCAGCTGCTCTCAAGAAGGACTGTGTTGGCTGGGCCATTAAGCTGCTTCCCTACTGCTGTCCATTAAACCTGTCACTGGAGGGGCTCCGGGACAGCCCCACCCTGCATCCTACCCGTGTGGACTGATGCTTTTGCAGAAGGGAGATGCCAGCCATCATCAGAGCACTCAACCACCAGCAACTCAGCTAAGACCCCAGCAGGGGTGCGGGACGGCCACTCCCACCCCGCTGGCTGCTGTTCCTTCTTCCTCAGTCACTTGCTTGGGCTAAGGGGGACTGCAGGATGGAGTGTGAAGCCCAAGTCTGTTTCCCGACCTTATTTATTGAGGAGTGCCTCTTCCCTGTCCTCCCCAAGATGGCTCCCAAACCCAGTGTGCACCAAGTGGGGCTTGAAGGATGAAGCTGCTAGGCCCCAGGTAACTCTTCTGCAAAGTGACCTGTCCTGCCACCACAGCGTCTCCAGGACACTCCT